AGCTTCTTATAGAATCCCTTCTTTGTCTGAATTCATAGCTACGTTGTGATTAGGTCAGTCTGCCATCTACTGGCTGAAGACGATACTGCAGACCCCAAACAGATTTTAATGCATTATTAATTAATGTATTTTTTTCTTTTTATATTGAATGCTCCCAAACAGCACATTTTTATGGTCCCCTTAGTATCCAAACCAAGTCCTAGCTATCTCGGTTTCACAATCTTGGAAGACAGGCACACATACAGACAGAGACACACTTCTTATAGATTTGAAACAGCAGTTCTTTTTCAATTTATTGTATGCTCCTTTGGGAGGCATTCGATTGGAAAACAGAGTGTAATATTCTTCTAATGCGTTTTTGCAGCCTATCTAGCTTTCAACGATGTCTCAACGGCCACAAAAATACAGGGGAGAGGACAAAAGTAAAATGAAAAATGAGTCTGAAGCCACCGTTTTGTTCCAAGAAATCTGAAATGGAAAGAGATTACTTTCTTATTACTGATACATGGCTCATCTCCTGTCTCGTCACATCATCTCCTTTATGAGTCCCACATTTTCTCCATGGGGCACCAAGAAAGCCTGACCCCCCCCCCAAAAAGGTTTTGAAACCACTTGGTTCTCAGCCTTTGCTCTTAGGACACGAAACGTTCAGCCAGCTTCCCGACTGCGATGGGGGTTGTGAGCGTTCCAAATACAGCAGAACTACACCTCCCATTGCACAGTGATGGGAGTTGTAGTCAAACACAGCTACAAAGGAAATTATGAGTACTGATAAACAAAAGTGTCCAATGAAAGTTTTGTTAAATATGTTTGGAAATATACGCTTAGAATGGGGGCAGAAGGAAGGAAGGAATGATTATTATTATGGTAATAGTTGCAAGATTGATATTTGCAAGAAATTGGAAGAAGAATAACTAGTTTAATATGGAGGATCGATATAAAGACATATGGAACAGGGCTATCAATGATAAGTTAACATGTGAATTGAACGCTGGAAAAAGAATATTGAAAGCTAATTATTTGAAAGCTATATGGAATTTATTCTAGTACATGTGTTTGCAAAAGGTGATGGTGATACCCCTGGACAAGAATCATTGTATTTGTGGAGAGAAATAAGGCATGTACATAAAAAAAGGGGGGGCGCACGGGAATTCCAAGGGGCGTGGGGAACACTGGATGTCTTACGTATTATGAGTTTTGATCTGAAATTGAGTTTGTTTTTGCTGTTGATTATTTTTCTTTCTCTTTTCAGTCTTGTCGGGGCAATGTTCCCATCAGGACCTCCCTCACCGGACGGGCCAAGAAAGGAGCCGTTCTCCACCCTGCCGCTGCCACCTGTGCATTCCCGAACCCGTCCATCTGACCCTGAATGTCCGGAACAAGCATCTTCCATGCAAGGAGCCTCATCAGGTGGGGAGGCGCACCTACCCTGACTACCCGACATGCCACCCACCCCGCTATTACCAACCTTGTGACTGCGAGAACCGGTACCGTCTGCGCGCCGCCTCGGCCCCTGCTGCTTATGCCCCCATCGTTCGCTGCCGGGATGTGGCCGACGGCGCCTCCGAGCCCATGTTATATCCGGGCAGCCAGGAACGCCGGAATGACATGGCCGTGGGCACAGAACTCTACCCCCGGACGCAGGTGGGGGAGACCCGCTACCGCCTGGTAGGGGCCAGCCACGATGCTGAATATACAGGAGGACTCCGGCCACGCTCCCATCGGCCGACCAAAGTGTACATCTACCCGGTGCTCCCCCAGACGCCCCCCGGGAGCCGATCGGCCAGCCCGGAGAGGCTCCACCGGCGCCGGGGAGCCACAAGTGGCAGCGAGGAAGATCAGCAGGAGGAGTTTGAGACCCAAGAGCCGTGCCGCAAGGCCCGGGAGCCGGAGCAGCAGGCCAGAGGGACCCCACCGCGCTTCCACACGGTTCCCACCAGCGTCCTCCAAAGGGCCGCCCAAACCGAGGCCTCGGGCCCCAAGCAGCAGCATCCTTGGTCCGAGGCACCGGCCGACTCGGATTGGGTCTATCAGGCCCTAAAATAGACTGCCGCCCTGTCACCGTGGCAGGCAAAAAAATAGAAGAGCAGGCGGCCGAAGAAGGAGAAGAGGACGGGTTCCCTCTTGGCGGCCCTGACTGTTTGCAATAAAGGTTCCCCCCACTGGCAGGAAAAAACAAAGGAGGGAAACAATAAAGGAGGGAACCAAGCTGAGTCTTTTCATTTGACACACTCCGTTCCCCCCCCACACACTGGTGGCTCTCTCCTGCATTTGCATGCAAGCCCTTGGTTGGACTACAGCTCCCATAGCTCCCGGCTGTGTGGGCGGCGAGCCATGCTGGCTGGGAGAAATGGGGGCAGTCGTCCGAACCACCCCAAGGTTATCAGGACTGGGAAGGTTGGCCTGGCTCTGTAAGAGTTTCCCCGGGCCCAGAGGTTGCCAACTTTCCGAATGAGGGCTGCTCCTGTGCTGTATCTGCTGCAGTCTCTAGCCCAGGTCTGAGGAAGGCGACAACATCTCTTGTCCAAAGCCTGGGGGAAATCGTTGTTTCCGACCATCAGGCTCAGAATCCTCTGGCCGTCCTGGGTGGGTTGAGCGGGTGGGCGAGGCGGAATAAAACCAGAAAACTTCCCCAGGGCTTGAGGTCCCCGAACGAAGATTCGGGAGAGACCGGAGAAAGTGGGTTCACATCCAACGGGAGATGGATTTACTAGAGGTTCAAAACACTCTGTACAGTATATCTTTTTCGGATGAACTACTCCCAGAATCCTAAAGGGGCTGGGGATTCTGGGGGCTGTAGTCCTCAACCGCGCGGATTCCCAATTCTGGGACTGATGGAGTCCGGTGTCATAAGACACGCCAGTGACAAGATGAGAAGAATTTATTTTTTCCCCCGACACACGGGCTCTTTCCCTCTTCCTTTCCACTCTTCCAGAACCTTCCAGATTCTCATCCCCAGTTTCTTTATGGGCACCAAGCTCCAGAAACAAGCAGTGTCGTTTCGATCCAGCCAGTTGGGGACAAAAAGACCTGCCCTTCTGGTTTCCCCTCTGCCTGCCTGCTTTTCTCCCTCCACTTCTGCCCCTGAAGCACAACTTCTTCCACCTTCTCACGAGCAGGATGCTCAACCAGATGGGCGGGGTACAAATAAAATAAATAAACTAAACAAATAAATAAGCATCTCGCCTCTCCAGCTTTTCGTTGCAGGCTCGGTTTTTTCCTGGCTTCCCCATCCCCTGCCGCCAGCAGCTCAACATGCCGAAACCCAGGGAGGAAACACATTTCTGTGCCTGGAAGCTGAGGGAGCAAGAAAATTCAGCGACCTGATTTCCTCTTGCCTAGGCCAGGGTTCAAAGACGGAGAAGCCAGGCCAGGAGAGAAAAGTTGGCAACCGGGACTCGACAGCCTCTTCCTGGGCCGTTCAGCCCATCAGAGCCACTGACCGGACACTCACATTCACATCCCAAGAGGCCGGAGAGCCAGTTTGAATGCAGTATCTTACAACATTTGCTTTTGTCATCTCTGGCCTGAATTGAAATATTGGGTATTTAATCCCTGTACAGAGACATTCATTTGCTATTATTAGTGTTGTTGCATTTATTTATATCTTAGAATTCGTACCTATACGTGGCTTTATCCACAGTGAGCCACACACATACACACAGGTACAGTAGGAACCCCCCCCCCATCCACAGGATCACTAAATAGAAATATTAAAAGAAAAATCTTAGAAATATTTATTTATTTATGATTTATACCCTGCCCATCTGGCCTACAAGACCATTCTAGGCGGCTAAAGATGACGTAACCCTAACAGGCCACCAGAAAGAGCCAGAGACCATCTTATGTATGGTGTTCACTATTATCCACGTTTCAGCATCTGCGGGAGGGGAGCACTTGGAATCTATCTGCGGATATGGGGGTCGTACTGTAGCTTTACCACAACCCTGCGAAGCAGCCCAGAGCCAAGGACTCCGCTGAGGTCACCCAGGGAGTTTCACACCCAGGGGGGGATTTGAACCCAGGTCTACTGACTCCGAATTCACCATGGTAACTATGGTCAGCTTACAGAACTTCCAGAGATGGGGCCGAAAAGGTCTCAGATTTGAACCCAGGTCTATGGTCAGGTCACAGAACTTCCAGAGATGGGGCTGAAAAGGTCTCGCGGCCCTTTGAAAGCAAACCAAATATTATTTCGGGTTTCGAGGAGGACATGCGGCCCTTTGAGAGCGAACCAAATATTATTTCAGGTTTCGAGGAGGACAATCCACTGCCCAAGGGGTGGGGGTGGGGTGTCCCGTGCCTTTCGTTTTAATTACTGTATTATCTGGAGGAGGGCCGCATACCTGTCCGGGTGGCTTGCCTTCAAAGGTTTTACTTATTACCTGGAGGGGGGGCACATACCTGTCCGGGTGGCTTGCCTTCAAAGCTGCCCCTGCTGAAATTCCAGCTTCTCAGCAACTATTCAAGGGGCTAGAAACCTGCCTCCTTGCTCACCTGCTCGCCTCACCTCTGCAGTGAAACTAAGAAGGCAAATATTTTCATTTTTGAAACCGCTACGTTGTAAATTGCTTTTTTTTAAAAAAACAAAAATCCAAGCAACCCTACAGTTCCTAAGAGCCTCCGGGACTGGGTTGGCTGGGCTGCGAACCGATGCTCCCCAGGGTGAACAGAGGACCCCTTAAAAATCTCAGTTTTCCAAACTCCGTTGGCTCCTTGGGAGGAAGGTGAGTCTGCCCAAAAGACTACATTACCCGAAATGCTTTGCGAAGCCCTCGACCAGCACCGTGGAACATCACCATTGCAGGCTCCGGGCCACACCTGGGCGGGAGTCCGAAGAGGAAGCCACGCACTACATTTCCCAGCATGCCTGGGACCTCAAGGTGCGCCGGGCGGGCGGGGCTTCGCTTCGCACAGGTAAGCGCAGGTGAGCGAGATGGGGCGCGTCCAAGGGGGAGACTCCGGGCGGGGCTGCCGGGATAGCACCGTGGAACATCACCATTGCAGGCTCCGGGCCACACCTGGGCGGGAGTCCGAAGAGGAAGCCACGCACTACATTTCCCAGCATGCCTGGGACCTCAAGGTGCGCCGGGCGGGCGGGGCTTCGCTTCGCACAGGTAAGCGCAGGTGAGCGAGATGGGGCGCGTCCAAGGGGGAGACTCCGGGCGGGGCTGCCGGGATGGGATC